TTACATCTGCTGACGATGACTTGTTACATCGCTTGTACGTATGTGTAATCGTTACGTATGTTGTTACGTAACATCGTACGTTATCGTTTAATCCGTACGTATGTGTCTACTAATCTTTCCGTACGTATGTGTTACATTCGGTACGTATGTGTACATCTGTACGTATGTATCGGTCGAACTGTGAATCTGTACGTATGTTCCCTACTGTTACATCTGTACGTGTCTGTCTGCCGTTTCATCTCAGCGCGTGGTGTCACGTACTGGCTCCGTCGGGCTCGCCGGGACTCCGCGTCCGGCTGTGCTCTACATCTGTTATGGATGTCCCGGGACCCGCCTGTCGCGCTACCATGCGCTGTATGTACCTGTGTGGGGCCGCATGGCGGTCGTACTTCGGCATGGCGTGCCGTCTCACATGCCCTCTCTGGGTCAGCGCCCGTTCATGCTCGCTTCACATGCTCCGGCTTACGGCCTACTTGTCCCGGACTCCTACCCCCATCCTGTATGGTCTACCTGTGGTTACGATCTCGTAGTGTATCGTGCCGTGCGTCGAATCTGCGCCTACTGTATGCGTGTTGACCCGATCCGGTCTACGTTATGTGTGGCTACATCTGTACGTATGTGTTATTCTACGGATGTGTACGCATCTGTACGTATGATTACATCTGACGTATCTGCTTACATCATGTAAGTATTGTGTTCATCTGCTGTGTCACTTGTGTGTTTACTAGTCCCTGTGACGTCCATCGTGGTTACATCTGTACGTCATTCGAGGTCTCCGTTACACCTCTTGTACGTATGTGTAGCATCCTCCTGTAACGTATGTGTTACATCTGGTAGCGCCGTATTGCTTGACGATCTGTACCCGTATGCGCTGTAGTACTACTTACGCTCGTATTGTGCTTACCATCTTGTACGTATGTGTTACATCTGTACGTAGTGTGATACATCTGTAGATGTGTTATTATCTCTACGTATGTGTACATCTGTACGTATGTGTTACATCTCTAGTATGTGTTTACATCTGTACGTATGTGTTTACATCTCTACGTATGTGTTACATCCCTGTAGGTATGTTTATATATGTACGTACTTGTTACATCTGTTACGTATGTGTTATTCATGTACGTATTTTTGTTTACCATCTGTAGCCGATGTGTCTACATCCTTCTCACGTCAAGTGGTTACATCTCTACGGTACTGTGTTACGATCTCTACGTTCATGTGGTTATCATTTTTCCCCCTTGGTGATATGTGGATGGTTTACATTCTGGTATGTATGTGTTACTGTCCTCGTCTGTATGTGTTACATCTGTAGCGTGACTGCTGTTACATCTGTACGTATGTGTTACATCTGCTATTGGTGGTGTAACCGGTATGTGTACATCTGTACGTAGTGTTACATCTGTACGTATGTGTTTATAATCGTCGTCTACGGTATGCTCGTTACATCCTGTGACTATGTCTTTACATCTCTCACGTTACGCCGGTGTGTACATCTGTACGTTCTGTTACATCTGTATGTATGTGTTACATCTGTATGTATTTGTGTTTAACATCTGTACGTATGTGCTTAGTATCTCTACTATGTGTACATCTGTACGTATGTGTTACATATCTACGTACTCGTTTACGATCTGCTAACGTATCTGTTACATCTCTATGTGGATGTGTACATCTGTATGTATGTGTCTACATCTGTTACGTATCTGCTTACATCTGTATGTATGTGCATTACATCTGTACGTATGTGTTACATCTGTACGGTATGTGCTTACACCTGTACGTATGTGTTACATCTGTATGTATGTGTTTACTTGACGTATGTGTTACATCTCTACGTATGTGTTACCTCTGTACGTATGTGTTTACATCGGTGTACCGTATGCTGCTTTAATCTGTACGTATGTGTTACATCTGCTACGTATTGTACATCTGTACGTAATGTAGTTACCATCTGCTAGCGTACCCCTGCGCCCTCCTTGTGTTACATCTGTAACGTATGATGTTAGCATTGTACGTATGTGTTACATTCTGTATGTATGTGCTTACATCTGTATTGTATGTGTTACATCATGTACGGTATGTGGTTACATCTGTACGTATGTGTTACCATCTGATACGGTATGTGTTACATCTGTACGTTATTGGTTTACATCTGTACGTATGTAGGTACATCTGTAGTATGTGTTACATCCCTGCTACGTATGTGTTTACATCTGTACGTATGCTGTTACATCTGCTACGTATGTGTACATCTGTACGTACCATGTGTTACACGTAGTACGTATGTGTTACATCTGTTACCGATGTGTTACATCTGCTGTGTATGTGTTACAATCTGTACCGTATGTGTTACATCTGCTACGTATGTGTTACATCTGTTACGTTTTTTTTATGGGTGTTACATCTGTACGTGGATGCCATTTTGCAGCCATACATTTTGGCCTACAAACGTGACTGCCAGACGAACCGTACGTGGGTCTTTGTTTTCAATCATTTACATTTATACCATGGAGTTAATTTAATGAGCAATTGACAGGGTTAATAATGACTCAATTGTCAGGAGGAGTTAATAATGACAAATTGACAGGGGTTATAATGCAATTGACAAGAATTAATAATGACAATTTGACAAGGCGTGTTAATATATGACAATTGACAGGCGTTGTCAATAATGACAATTGACAGGGGCTTAATAATGACAATTGACAGGGCGTTAATAATGACAATTGTCAGAGGGGTTTAATAATGACAAATGACAGGGGCCGTGTTAATAATGAACAATTGACACGGTTTTATTAATAATGACATATTGACAAGGGGGTTATAATGACGATTGACAGGGGTTAATAATGACAATTGACAGAGGTTTGAGTAATGGACAATTGACAGCGGGTTAATAATGACAATTGTCAGGCGTTAATAATGACAATTGACAGGGGGTAATAATGACAATTGCAGGCGTTAATTAATGACAATTGACATGGGTTAATAATGCAAATGACAGGGGTTAATAAATACAATTGACAGGCGTTAATAAGACAATTGCACAGAGGTTAGTAGATGACAATTGACAGGGGTTAATATATGGACAATTGACAGGGGAGAGTTAATAATGCACAATGACAGAAGTTAGTAATGACAATTGACACGGGGTTCAATACATGACAATTTGACAGGGGTTAATATGACAATTGACATAGGTAGTAATGACAGATTGACAGGCGCGTTTGAAATAGATGACAATTGACAGGGGTAAATATCAGACAGGGGATTGTAATAATGACAATTGTCAGGCGTTAATAATGACAATTGACAGAGGTTAGTAATGACAATTGACAGGGGTTAATAATGACAATTGTCAGGCGTTAATAATGACAATTGACAGAGGTTAGTAATGACAATTGACAGGGGTTAATAATGACAATTGTCAGGCGTTAATAATGACAATTGACAGGGGTTAATAATGACAATTGTCAGGCGTTAATAATGACAATTGACATGGGTTAATAATGACAATTGACATGGGTTAATAATGACAATTGTCAGAGGATTAATAATGACAATTGACAAGGGTTAATAATGACAATTGACAGGGGTTAATAATAACAATTGACAGGAGGTTAATAATGACAATTGACAGGGGTTAATAATGACAATTGACAGGGGATTAATATTGAAAATTGACAGGAGGTTAATAATGACAATTGACAGGGGTTAATAATAACAATTGACAGGGGTTAATATTGACAATTGACAGGAGGTTAATAATGACAATTGACAGGGGTTAATAATAACAATTGACAGGGGTTAATAATGACAATTGACAGGGGTTAATAATGACAATTGACAGGAATTTAATAATGACAATTTGTCATTGTTAACGCCTGATTATACTTTCCCACACTGAGAGTGTAACTCTAATCTCTGTCTACAGAGGGCGCGTCACTACTCACGTCGCATACTTGTCTCGCCTGCAGGTCGGCATTGGGCCTGTAACTCTAATCTTAGCCTACAGAGGGCGCGCGTCACTACTCACGTCGCATGTATAGTTTATAGTTCACAATATACTTTCTGAGATTGTGATATTATACTGAGACTGTGGCGCCCTCTGTAGGCTGAAATTAGAGTTATAGGCTCAACGCCGACCGGCAGGCGAGACAAGTATGCGACGTGAGTTACTCACGTCGCATACTTGTCTCGCCTGCCGGTCGGCGTTGAGCCTATAACTCTAATTTCAGCCTACAGAGGGCGCTACTCACGTCGCATACTTGTCTCGCTTGCAGGTCGGCGTTGAGCAGGGCGGTTACGGAGAGCGACGACTGAGAGCCGCTCTCGTCGTAGCTGGAGCGCCGCACGCTGATGCGGTCTCTCTCGTTCTGGACGGCTGCAGCACATGCAACAATGACATAAATAATAACACAATAACACAACAATACATGCAATAATAATATAACCCCCAGCGTATAGGAGAACGCTCACCTGTGGCGCGTGCAGGACACGAGAAAGAACGCACGCACGCACGTACACATGGCCGCACGTAAGAAAGGAAGTACGCACGTACGTACGCACGCACGTCCGGACGTGCGAATGAACGCACGCACGTAGGATAGCACGCACGCACGTACGCGCGGCCGCACGTAAGAAAGCACGTACGCACGTACGCACGCACGGCCGCACGTAAGAAAGGACGCACGCACGCACGTACGCGCGGCCGCACGTAAGAAAGAACGCACGCACGCACGTACACACGGCCGCACGTAAGAAAGAACGCACGCACGCACGTACACACGGCCGCACGTAAGAAAGAACGCACGCACGCACGTACGTACGGCCGCACGTAGGAAAGCACGCACGCACATATAAGCACGCACGCACGCACGCATGTATGTACACGCATTGTCAGACAAAGGCGCACTCATCACGTACATTTTATTGCCACATTCGTACACACGTACCTGAACGCACCTACACACACGCTCGTGCGCGCGCAGATGGGCGCACGCATGTAACAAGCCGACGTCATGTATATACTCGCGTGCAAGCACGCGCATACACATGTACACGACCATGCTCGCGCATACACATGTACACGACCATGCACGCGCATACACATGTACACGACCATGCACGCGCATACACATGTACACGACCATGCACGCGCATACACATGTACACGACCATGCACGCGCATACACATGCATGCACGCAAGCACAGACACACGAACATAGCTATATTCGTGCATGCATGCGTGTGTGCGTGCGTGTCCATATATTCGTGCGTGCAGCGCGTGTGTGCGTGCGTGTCCAAATATTTGTGCGTGCAGCGCGTGTGTCCGTACGTGTTCGTATATTCCTGCATGCGTGCGTGCGTGCGTACGTACGTGTCCATATATTCGTGCGTGCAGCGCGTGTGTGCGTGCGTGCCCATATATACGTGCGTGCATGATTGCGTACGTACGTGTCCATATATTCGTGTGTGCGTGCGTGCGTGCGTGCGTACACGTTGTGTGCGTGCGTGCGTACGTGGTGTGCGTGCGTAAATCGTGGACGTGATTACAAATTGGAAAGCGTTCACTGTAATTTATAGTCTGACTGTTTGTCGTCGTCGTCGTCGTCGTTGTCGGTTATATCAGAGGGGGGAGGGGGGGGCGTGCATATTGCAGTGAAAATGTCAAGACGTTACACAACATGTAGGAAGGCTCGTGATACATTGCTGGCAGCGCATTAATTAAAAACGCTCTTATCCAAAATTGCGTTCGCTATATAGGTACCGACAGACGCCAACCAGTACCTCGTTCAACTCGTGGGAGCGCTGAACCTGTGTCCGTGAGTGTGGGCGCGCGCGCGTGCGTGCGTGCGTGCGTGCGTGCGTGCCTGCGCGCGTGCGTGCGTGCCTGCGCGCGTGCGTGTGTTCGTGCCTGCGCGCGTTCGTG